AGAATTTAGTAGTATAAATTGATGTTATAACTTACCATACTAACAGCCTAGGCACTAGCTAAAAAGCCCAGACATGTGTTTCGCCGGTATTCTGTCTCGTTGTCACTACGGAGGATCCAATAGGTCTTGGCGTTGAGTAAAGGAACACGGAACGGCGCTTGGTAAGGTTGTTCCAGGGATTTGCGCACTCGGTCGCATCGCACAAACACATGGGTGCTGTTGGCCAGGCTTTTATGACATAAAATTCAGTCGGCGGAGTACGAGTCCGGGCCGGGAAAAGCGAGCGCGTAAATTGTCGTAGACGATGCATAAAAGTGTCAGGGGTCTCATCGGAACCGCGAAAGGTTAGACTAACCAACAGGTAGTAACCTAGTTGTTCAAATTCAGCTAGGAAGTCCGAACTTAGGATTGCATTAGTGACATCAGAAATGACAAAAATCCAGGAAAACGACCGCCGAAGACCAATGTTAAGGGTGAGGGACCGGTTACCAAAAGTCGGAATGGGGAAATAGTTTACATCGTAAAGGTGAATACCGGACTGGGGAAGTTACAGCCAGCTGAAGTTTGGGATACGACACTCAATTAGACTCTGGGGTCCGCAAGAAAATGTCTGCGAGTCATGCTGTCAGAGACGTAAAAGGTGCGACCAGTGCCGGGAGAACCAAAGAAAACGACCGCGTTGATTTTCTGGCTGGTAGATTTCCCGGCTTCGAACTGAAAGAGCATGAAGAGGAACATCGGTGCGCCTTTGCACCAAAATTTGTATGGTACCAGCACACCTCGGCTATTCTCGGTCGCGAACGAGAGCAACGACAGTTGGATGAGCAACGGGCAGCAAAACGGGAAAATTGTAGCTTCAGAGAGGCCAACTCTTCCACCCTGGCCGATACCTGTCTCACCAAGTGCTCGTTTACTGTCGAAGAGGGTGTGGAAATCTGGGCAATAGATGGCGACTGGAACCACTGCATTTCTATAATCCGGTCCGCTATTTCAACTAGCTGGTGCCAGCACTGGCTTTCAGAGACAGCATTAAGTCGAAGTATTTCGGCTTTCGATTTTGAATGGGAAGTATTGGCCGGGGGATTTGACAACAAGAACTGGACATTAGGAATAACACTAGGTGGAAAGACTTCCACTAGTTGGTGATAATTTACCAGTTGCTTTGTAACAAAAGTCGAATAAAATGCTAATTCGATGTGGATGAAGTGAAGCTCTGACAAATTTCGCCAGAAGTCGGGGAGGGTGAATTTAACGGCTTGAAGAAAGCGATCATTGTTATCAGGTTTTTCGGTCGAGGCAAGACACGAGGAAGAAAATATAAACGGCAAAATATCCAGAAAATTCGCGAGAAATGTAAGTTCTCAACGTTATTCAATATGGCGGGAAGAAGGAATAAATCGCATTAAGCAGTTGGGTTCACCACGGAGGAAAGTGTTAAGGTCCCTAAGAACTAAAGAAGAAGATCTCATGAATTGTATGCAGAAACATCAATAACGCAATCCTAATGAATCGAAAAGGTTAAAGTAGAATATATATTAAACAATCTTTACGCCGGTTAGCAAACGTGCGGAAATTGTAAAGAAGGCGTGTGTTCGCCATATAAAAGCGAAACAGTGCAGACACAAAAATTTGAAAATACTGTTGGAGGCAGTTTGGTCTAGTTGGTCAGCACAGTACTGCCTGTCGTCCGCATGAATGTTGCTTATATTGAGCCTTTTTCAACCGTCCCAACAGCCTTCTACACTCACTACAATGTCTCTTGCGAGCTCCCAGCCTCCATGTATACCGTGTTATCCTGCTGCCCACCCCTAACCCACGATCTCCACCGGTGGTCGGCATACGTGTTTCTCTGGTCGCACTTCTTTATCTTCCTTAAATTAATATTTTGGAATCTTATTTGTTAGAGTATTAACAAAAACTAATCTGAATATCGTATCATCACCAAAGTGCGTCTTAATGACCAATTATTTTCTTCTCACTTTTACTGTCGTATGTAATTTGTGAGTGTATGTGGCTTACGAAAGAAGAAAGATCGATTCTTCTTCTTCCACTGAGTGACTGCAAAAGTGCTCGGATGATGAAGCTGTCATGTCTGATTTTAATGATAATATAAGCCTTAGTCGTAATTCAAATGACTGCAGAATCGTCTCGCGCTAGACGCGCCAAAGGTCTACTAAGCTGACTGCACGGCAATTGCGATGCTGAGGTCCGTATGGCAGGCATTACATTCTTCTGACAATTATTGGATATGAGTTGACCCAAGTGTGAAAAACTCTAGGCGTTTGGCGGGATTTGA